ATTGAGTAAATGTGAATTTTGGTTGAATGAGGTTAAATTCTTGGGTCATGTAATTACCTAAGAAGGAGTAAAAGTGGACCCAAGACAGATAAAGGCTGTATTGAATTAGGAACGGCCTAAGACAATAAATGAGGTTAGGACTTTTTGGGACTAGCAAGTTGCTATAGAAGGTTCATACAAGGATTCTCCAAAATTGCCATATCGCTGACTAAGCTCACTCCAAAGAATCAGCCATTTAATTGGGATGATAAGTATGAGGCTATCTTCCAAGAGTTGAAACAGAAGTTGACCACGACTCCCGTGTTGATAATCTCTGGTCCTATATTGTCGTATGTGATACATACTGACACGAGTAAGCAAGGATTGGGATGTGTGTTGATGCATAAAGGTTGAGTGGTTGCTTATGCCTCATGACAGCTAAAGACTCATAAGGAAAATTATCCCACGCATGACCTTGAGCTAGCAGCAATTGTAAACATCTTGAAGATCTAGAGGCATTATCTATATGGGGTAACCATTAAATTATATTGTGATCATAAAAGCCTCAAGTACTTGCAGGACCAGAAAGAACTCAATATGAGCCAAAGAAGATAGATAGAATTACTCAAAGATTATGACTATAAGATAAAGTACCATCTAGGAAAGGCAAATGTGGTAGCGGATGCGTTAAGCTAGAAGACAGTACAGGTGGTGTCATTAATGATAAAAGAGCAGGAACTAATTGAAAGTATCTGAGATTAGAATCTCACTGGCAATATACAATTGATGGCAGGCCAGATTGGAATTGCGAAAGCCCGAAGCACAAATCATAGAACAAATAAAAGAGGCCTAATAGAGAGATCAACTGGTCGAGCTAAGGCATTAAGAAATGAGACATAAGACCATGACATAACTCCAGAAGGGATCCTGAAATATAAGGGCAGAACTTATATTCCGCTTAGAGTAGAGATCAAGGGGCAAAATCTAGAGGAGGCACATAAGAGCCAATATATCGTACATCCAAGCATGACTAAGATGTATCGAGACCTTAAAGAATCATTCTGGTGGCTTGGTATAAAGCAACATGTGACAGACTATGTGTTAAGGGGCCTCATTTGTCAAAAAGTAAAGGTAGAACATCAAAAGCCGTCAAGACCCTTACAGTCTTTAAGCATTTTGGAGTGGAAAGGGGATAACATATATATAGACTTCATCATGGGACTACCTCATACATCGTCAGGTTTCAATGCTATATGGGTAACTATGGACCTTCTGACAAAGTTAGCTCATTTCTTAGCCATAAAGAAAGAATACCAACTAGAAAAGTTGGCATGGATATACAAAAGGAAAATTGTGAGGTTACATAAAGTACCTGAAACGATCATATCAGACAAGAACCCATGGTTTCTCTTTAAATTCTAGAAGGCACTACAGGAGGCCATGAGCACTAAGCTAAGCTTTAGTACAGCTTACCATCCTCAGATTGATGGACAGACAAAACGTACCATTCAAACGTTAGAGGACATGTTAAGAGCCTGTGCCCTAGACTTCAAGGGAAACTGGAATGAGTACTTGCGACTAGCTAAATTCACTTACAACAACAGTTATCATTCCAGTATCCAAATGGCTCCTTACGAAGCACTGTACGGGAAAAAGTGTAGATCCCCGTTATGCTGGATGGAGTTGGCAGAAAGAAGGATGTTTGGTTCTTACCTGATAGAACAAACCTCACAACAAATCAAAATGATTTGGCAGAGACTACTTACGGCATAAAGCAGACATAAGAGCTATGCCAACGTACAAAGAAAGCCTCTGCAATTTGATGTCAGAGGCCATATTTTTCTAAAAAGATTTCCACCTACCAGCTAGAAAGGTCAATTAAGGCTCATAAGTTGACGCCCAAATTCATCAGACCCTTCCAGATTTTGGCAAGAGTTGGCCTGGTAGCATACAAATTGGCCCTACCCTCTAATCTTAGCCAGATTCATGATGTCTTCTATGTCTCTCAATTGAAAAAAATACTAGCTAGATCCCTCCCACATCTTAGAATATGAAGACATAGAGTTGCAGGATAACTTCACTTTTGAGATAAAGTCTGCAAAAATTGTAGATCGATGGGTTAAGCAACTACAGAACAAGACTATTCCGATAGCTAAAGTGATCTAGAGGGATCTAAATTAGGAAGAGGCCACTTGGGAGAAGGCAGACAATATGAAAGCCAGATACCTTGAATTGTTCATACCAGGTATGTTTCTAAATTTCAAGGACAAAGTTTATTTGAAAGGGGAAGGAATTGTCACATCCTAAAAATCTCATCTGGACATAGAGGGTTAGAATTTAGGATGAGGGCCAATATAGAAAGTAAATAGAGGGATGAAATAACTTTTGATGCGAAACTCTGGTAGGGCCCAAGCTGCCATTTTTAGAATTATCGGTTTAGGAAGGGCAACACAGAAAAATTTAAGAAAAATTCTAAAAAATTCTCAAAAAATAGTAAAAATGTGAATTAGAGGTCTTGGAACCTCGATAGAGGCCCTAAAGGTGAAAATTATGTGAAAATAAATTATTATAGAATTTCCCAAACACGGAGGTTTTTCAAAAAAATAGTGAAAAATCAGAAGAAAATAATTATTTTAAATAGTTAGAGGCCTCAATAATTATGGATTAATTATATAAATATTTATAGGATTGTGATTTGGTTTGTGGGTCATCTTTTTGGGCCATCCTAAACCATAAGTGGGCCCCACATTGGGCTTGGAGAAGGCCGAATTTCGTGCAAAATCTGGAGCCTTCAATTAAATTGAAATAAAATCCAATTTTCACACAAAAATCTCGGAATATTCTAGGAATTGGACACTTCGTTTGATCTGAACTTATTCCACATTTGATGGCAGCCAAGTGTCCCTCTTAGGTGGCACTTTGCATGTCCAATTGAGACGGGGAGGTGGCAAATTTCTTGGCCTATAAATACCCCCTCAAAATACCCAAAAATAGGTAGGGAATTCGAAAAACTTAGGGGGCGGTTCTGTCCAACCATTTTCCTAACCTAAAAACCGAAAATTGTGAGTGCTTGACGACAAGGAATTAGTAAGCTTTGGTCAAGGATTCATCAAGGCTTTGAGCAAAGGAAATAAGGAGAATCATACTCCCTTAAGGAGACTGAATTATACAAGGGCTAAAAGGCAGCATTGAACTTATAATTTGAATGTTTATCTTACTTGCTTAATGTGTTGTGTTAATTGCTTTGGATTAAGGAATCTATATAGTGGAATTGTTGATTTGATGACAATTAGTGTGCTTTGGCCAAATGCATGGTAATATGTTAATGTGAAGGTGTGTTTGATTCCTCTCTTGATTGGGTGCATAGCATGATTTTATGTGACTTGAGGATGTCTTGAAGTGCTATTGCATGACACGTTATGCGTTGCTTGATTTATATGATAATTATAGTTCATTGTTACTGGGATTTCTATGAAATCTCATTCCCTCTTATGTTAAATTATATCTTAAATAGGAAGTGGATCAATAATAGAAAAGGGCAAGGAATTGGTGTTGAGCTAAGGAGGCCATTGGAATTTGGTGTTAATGTATAAAGTTTATATTGTATTTTTGATTAACTTTAATATGAGTTTGTAATGAATCTTGGATAAGGTTGGCTTGTATCTATGTATGATGTGCCCTAATGTTAAGAATATTGATCGTAGAATGCTTGACTGGTGTAGCATATGGAAAAGGAAAGATAAAATCCAGAAAATCATGATTAGGGGATAGAAATGTTCTAAACAATGACAATTTTGTGTCACATAAAATAATGAGCACATGATCAAATCTAAATTTAAAATTTGGCAAACTTAGATCTCATTTTTTAGCTTTAAAATAAGTGGTAGATCACTAAATTTAGAGTTTTGTACTAAGAGATATGCCCTTTTAAAGTTGGGCTAAAATACTAAAAATTCAAAAATTGACCATATAAACAGTATAACTTCAAATTTTCTAGTCTCTGTTTTAGATGGATATGAAGCCAATGAGTATTTTTTTTCTTATAGAAGGCATAACAAGCTTCAAATAGAAATTGAAACTACTCAGTTTCAATTTTTCTACATTTAGTTATGAATTTTCAAAGTTGACCCAAATTACTGTGAACAGTGAATAGTAAACCGAAAATAAAAATTTCAGATTTAAATTTTTTCATATTTAAGGCTTATATACTGATCCTAAAGGGTTCCAATTATTATATAGTAAGGTAACAAAGGAGGCGTGACATAAGGCCACCTAATGTGGTTCCAATAGACATGTTTTGGCTTCACTTGTGGTCTAAAATGACGGTGTTATACCATAATTAACAGATTATAAGCATATGAATGAATACTTGTGATTAAGGAAAACTAATAAAGAATCAGCAAATGAATTTTATTATAAAACAATAAAATTTAATTATGAAACCTTTTCTTTTTTCTTTTTTCCCCTTTTCTTTTTGTTTGTCCTAGACTATAGAATAGAAGATTGGAATGGAATGAGGGAGAGGGACAGCAAATGGGAAAAGCAAAGGAGGAAAGCCGCATCCTGAAATTTATATCAAGCTATATGATTATTTTGCACACAATAAAGTTACATAATTATTAGGAATGTGAAAAAGCATATTTTTACACTTAGTCTAGCATAATATTGTGCACATATATAAATCCTTTGAGAAACTTTATTATCACGATAATTTGTATTAAGAGATAGAAATAGAATAGTGCGCCTCACTTTTATACAGTACAAAGAATTAAGCTTGGTTTCAAAGATCACTATGCGGATCGCTTGATGTGAAGGAAGTAAAGAGACAATTTAGATCCCTAACTTTCCAAATAACAAATATTATACTATAGTATCACAAACAGATGAAACACAGCAGAAGATCAACTTTATTTTGACGATGTAAGAAAAAAGTTTGCTATGAATTTTGCCAAATTACAATACAAGATGCACTTCACTAATAAGGACTTGAAGAGAATTTTTTAATTTGCGTCTAACAATACTTAATTGCGCTTGATGATAAATAACTCTCCCATCTCCTTGTATCTTGAGTCTGTAAGGATGTTGAATTCTGATGACAATTTCTTCTCAACCTGTACAAACATGTCATCCACAATCTCTTGCTCAAAGTGTTCCTTGTAAACGCCTTCCAATCCAGCTCTCAAGTGCATACTACAACTATGAGCATCTGTTTGATGCTTATTGTTCAATAGACGAAACAATGATTTTAACTTCTCGATTTCGAAATTCCCATTCTTCTTAATCAATTACTTTACCTCTTCTGATGCTGGAACGTGGATGGGCATGTTGAATGAATCTACCAGCTCTTCGCTTATTAAGCCCTTAATTCATTTGTAAAATAAGTTATTTGAAGAAGTAACTTATGATCAATAATCATTTTATATAAGAAACCAAAATCAAATATGAAGATTAACATCTAAATAATAATTTCTAAACCAAAGATAATAACATTTGTCCAAAACTTTAGCAGCTTTTAATATTTTTTGCCTTCTTGGTTAGCACAATCATTAATCTTATCCATAACATGTAAACGGATATAAAATATAAAGAGTAACTGTTTATTGTTTACCTTATTGGCCATGTCCACAAGAATGTTACCCATGATATTTACGAAAGCTTCGAACATGTTCAAGGAATTTGGGGGAACACACCGGGTGATAAGAATCATGATACCCCCAGGAACAAGCTCTAAGGCTCTGGAATTTAGGAAGCTTTCAAAGTCTCTTTCAAATTGTGCAGAATATGCTTCTGCAGCTTCCTTGTCTTCACTTGTGAAGTAAATTTTACCTTTATTATAGGCTCTAGAGTTCTTGTCAACTATTTCTTTAGGTACCTTTGAGAGCCAATGAACAGCCTGCCATGAAATGAACCTGGCACTGCGGCGGCATAATATTTCTTGTCCTCAGGAAAGAACTTGAAAAGTGTGTTAAAATCATTATCAACATGATCATTGAAGAACACTTGAAATTCAAGCGAGTCTGTACTATAGGCATGTTGGGATTCAAATTTAAGGTTCAAAGAATCTATAATGTTTTGAACAGTGAAAAATGCGTTAGGTCCAACTGAAGACTCCAAATCTACTATGCGGAAAGTATGAAAAGAATTCCGCAGAAGTGTTCCCACATCGAGTTTCTCAAGAATAGTGTCTTTGATAATGTTTTTGGCACTATCTGTTCCTCTTCGCTGCCATACAAGAAGAAACTGAATCATAAGCTTCGCATGAAAATGATTTAGATACGAGATTTAAATACTAGAATATAAACATATTGTTCTAGCAGACACTAAAGAGATTAAAATGAGTTGCTTGACAAAGAAATTAAGTCTGAATAAAATTTTAAGAAGAAGAAGAACCTGACTGGTGGAATTCTGAGCGTAACTATGCCGGCCATTTCCACCATCCATAGGGAAAGCCCGCTAAGATTCCGAGCCATTTTGGATTTCCATGGCTTTGTGATAATTTAGTTATTGTTTGTCCGTCGCATATTCGTATTTGATGAACACACACACTTATATATATATATATATATATATATATATAATGCATGGAAGGATTTTTGACTGGCGGTAGATGGGAAGAGAAATCAGTAAGCGTACAGAAGCCGCCATTGTTAATATGTTTTTCTTCCTTTCTTTGTTTTTTTTTAACCTTTCAACGCCATTGTTAATATTGAGGTATCACATAGAGCACAAATAAGACTTTGATGTCTCGATTGATCCATAATGCAAAATATAAAATATAGAGAAATTATTTTTTTTTTTGTTAACATCACACAATTAATAGGTTAGGAATAGTATGACTTGTTGGCGAAAATATGAATTATGTAGTATTGGTAGTAGTAGTAACTAATAAAAGTCTGCAAGCTGAATTATATGATTGATGTGATGCTGTCTTTGTCACATCGCACATGTCTTTGAGGAGAATGCACATGTTTTGACCCTCTAGAATTTTGACTATACAGAGTCTAATTTATTCAAAGTTTGATTCAAAAAGTTGTCGGATGAAATTAATAATTTCATCCACCTAGTTTCCGCTTATTTTGATCATTAAGAAATATTTTTAGTTTAATTTCACATTTTATTTCTAGAGAAAGACGTTTGTCCATTTCATCTTCGTCCTTGTATCACCCCTATGGAATTTGATTTTCTTTGCTTTTTCCCTTTTCAATTTCTTCTCCCCATCTTACTTATAATCATTATTAAGTACGCTTAAATTATAACAATTAAATATAAATTGTTAAAATGTTATTTGGACAAATCAAAACTAAATAAAAAATTTACTTTGTAATTAAGATATTAAATATAAACTGTCCCACATATTGCTATCCAACAGTCAAATATGAGAAATGAAGGAAAAATATCAAACGGAGGGAAAATAACGTAGAAACATTGTGTGCCTCCGCTATTAATTAAACACCAATCTCCTCTCAGTCAAAATCTCGAGACTGAGTATCTCCTTGGATTATCTCCCTAACCCATAGAGGTGAAAATAAGCTAGGGCCTTGTTAGATTGATTTTGCTTCCATATACTTTTTAGTCCCCATTGGGTTTTGACTATAAATAATTACTTCTACGTTTGATAAGAGAAAACTTTTTTCATATGTATCTACCCCGATGACTTAAAATAAGTTAATCCAAACTAACAGATAATATAGAACGGATAGAATAAAGGAGGATTAATTCCCAGCCTTCTTGATATATGTAGTGGGAGGGAATGAGATTGAGAACCTTATGCTGGACAGTACTTCTCTTTGCGGCCCTCCATGATGTTAAGTTTAATAAACTACACGATTAATTTTGACAATGCCAATTATTGAAATATGTACACACACATGTATTTAGTGTTCGTTGGCAAAAAATGTATGTATTTAATGTTCTTTATTTATGTATATTATGCGTTAGTGAATAACACATCTTTTTTAGTTAAGTCAAAACGGAAGAAAGTTATGAAATTAAATAATGGAATGAAGAGATAGGAAAGAAGTGTTGGTATAAGAACTTATGAACTCTAAAGGCAAGATCAAGAATCAAGAATCAATAAATGTTTGCATGCCGCACATGCAGATACTGAGTCAGCTTGTGAAATTGCCTAAATTTCTACTCGTTATTGCCTACCCATTTATATGAGTTAAAATGAAGCATATACATAACAAAGAAGAGAAGGTCTGGTTGAAGCATAAATTAAACATATAACAACAATCATTTTCAAATTCAGTTCCTAACTAACTAATAACATAAATGATAAATCAAATAAACAAATCCTAACTATGAAGCAACTCACAACAAAGAGTGAAGAGACAGCCTGAGACCGTGAGTGAAGAGAAACAAAAACAGTTAAAAGAGCTGAGACCGTGAGACCTGAGTGAAGCCTTAGAGCGTAGTGATGATGATGAGTGACTGAGAGAAGTATGGGATCTGTGATTGAGAGAATTAGAGAGCCTCATACAACAGAGCAAGTTTTCAATTGTTCTCATCTGGTCGATCTCTGTCTCTGGTCATTCTCTAGCGGCCATAGGCTGCTTGCTCGACCCTAGCTAATACTACCTCTATCCTAAATATAAAATATAGTTTATAGTGTAATTTGCACTACAAATTAGACCTCATATTTGGGACTGAAAGTAGCAATATTTAAAGTTCTTATGATATCATGTTTTTATGACCCCTTTTAAGCTCAATACTTGTGTCCCTTCTTGATTATTGTTCATTCCCTTCCTAATTTCCTTCTCTTCTTTCTCCCCCCGGGAGGCCTCTTCAAAACTCCTCCAAGGACCCTCTTCAATAGCAATTTAAACATCTCAATTACATTAAGATTTAAATTTTTGTGAATGTTACAACAACAACAACAACAAAGCCTTATCCCACTAGGTGGGGTCGGCTACATAGATCGCACGATGCCATTGAGTCCTATCCAAAGCCAAATCTTTGGATAAATTGTTAATTGAAAGATCTCTCTCAATGACTTTATTAAGCGTTGGAAAGCCAAATAACAACAACAACAAAGCCTTATCCCACTAGGTGGGGTTGGCTACATGGATTGCACGGCACTATTGAGCCCTATCCAATGCCAAATCTTTGGATAGGTTGTTAATTGAAAGATCTCTCTCAATAACTTCCTTAAGCATTGTCTTCAGCCTTTCTTTACTTCTTTTTAGAGGACTACATACTGTTTACTCAACTCTTCTTACCGGCACGTCCCAAGACCTTCTTTGCACGTGACCAAACCATCTCAATTGGTTTTCTACTATTTTCTCATCAATAGCAGCCACTCTAACTTTTCCTCTTATCTGTTCATTACGGATCTTGTCTTTTCTTGTATAACCATACACCTATTTCAACATCCTCATCTCAACAACTGCCACTTTATGTTCATGTTGTCCCTTTAAAGCCTAACACTCACTACCATATAGCATTGCTGGTCTTATAGCAGTGCTATAAAACTTTCCTTTGACCTTATTTGGTACTTTCTGATCACAGATAACTCCTGTCGCTTTTCTCCATTTAAACCACCCAGCTTGAATTCTATGATTAACATCTCCATCAATTTTCCCATCTTTTTCTATAATTGATCCCAAATATTTAAAATTTTCCACTTGTTGAATGACCTGGTCTCCCAATTTGACCTCCAACTCTGTACTAACTTGTCTCTTATCAAAACTACAATGCATATATTCCGTCTTGCTTCTACTCAAACAGAAACCCTTTGATTCCAAGGTTCTTCTCCATGTCTCAAGTTTAGTGATAATCTCTTCTTTTGACTCAGCTAATAGAACTATATCATCAGGAAAAAGCATGTACTTTGGGATTTCTTCTTTGATATGCTCAGTTAGAACATCGAGGACTAGGTTAAACAAATAAGGGCTTAAAGATGATCCTTGATGTAGGCCAATCCTTATAGGAAAGTCCTTTGTCTCGCCGCTTGGTGTTCTAATACTAGTTGTGACCACCCTTATACATGTCTTGTATGATTTTAATATAAGCGACATGCACCTCTTTCTTCTCCAAGGCTCTCCAGAGCATTTCTCTAGGCACACAGTCGTAAGCTTTTTCCAAATCAATAAAAATCATATGCAGGTCTCTTTTATGACTTCGGTACTTTTCCATTAAGCCCTTTAGTAAATAGATTGCTTCTGTTGTCGATCTTCCTGGCATGAATCCAAATTGGTTTTCAGAAATACAAGTCTGCATCTCGACTTATGTTCCATCACCTTCTCCCATAATTTCATAGTATGACTCATGAGTTTAATCCCTCTGTAACTAGCACAATTTTGAATATCCCCTTTAGTTTTGTAAATAGGTACTAAAGTGCTTTTCCTCCAATCATCAGGCATTTTCTTAGAGCGTAAAATCTCATTGAATAACTAAATAAGCCACAGCACCCCACCGTCATCCAAATATTTCCAAACTTCAATAGGAATACCATTAGGTCCAACTGCTCTATTATTTTCCATTTTCTTGAGAGCTTCCTTAACTTCACCAACTCGAAATCTTCGATAAAAAGCAAAATTATGTTCCTCTTCTCTAATTGTCATATCTTCAAGCTCATAAGTCGATCCTTTACTCCCATCATTAAATAGCTTATAAAAGTAGGCTTCCCAACGATCCTTAATATCACTATCAGTAACCAAAACTCTACCTTTTTCGTTCTTTATACATCTTACTTGGTTCAAATCTCTTGTTTTTCTTTCTTTATTCTTTGTGATCTTGTAGATCTTGTGTTTCCCAACCTTGGTCCCTAGATCCTTATAGAAATCCTCAAAAGCTTTAGTATGAGCTTCTCCCACTATTCTCTTGGTCTCTTTTTTAGCTACATGGTATCTTTCCCAATTTTCAACATTATTACACAAATGTAATGCTTTAAAACACTTTCGTTTATGCCTAATTTTCTCTTGCATGTTCTATCCAATCTCTTGTTTTTGTGAATGTTACGTTAATAATATTCTTTTTCAGTTTGAGATTATGCTCCTTTTCATCTCAAAACTGTTCAACTATACAAGACATATTTAATTAATCATAAGAACAAATGCCCTAAATATGTAAGGCTCTATTAAGTATTGGTGGGCCTAAGATGAAGAACCAAGGAACAACGTATATATTGTCTTATTAAACGTTGAGGACAGATTCATTTCATTGGGAGAACAAGGTACATATCTAAAAGCTGCTGAGGTACTTAGTGAAGGCAAATTAAAAACTGAAAATACTAAGCGACTCAGCATTTTCAGCTATTCACGAAGACAATTAAATCTTTAAAAATAAATGCTCATACAGGTTGCAAAAGTGATGTGGAAGAATAGTTAGAGACGAAGAAATAATGCAGAAAGAACCAAATATTGTTGCGCTAGAAATAGATATAAAAACAAAGAGTTTAGGTCCTGTTTGTTTTTGTTTTCTTGTTCTCAAAACAATCTTATAAAATTATTTCTTAGAACAAGTTTTGAAAATAAAACAAAAAAATTGTTTGGATAATAATTTTAAAAAAAACATAAAAAATCACACTTAGCGGATGGTAATTGTCACCATTAGTAATAGGAAGTGGGTAGTAGGTGAGAAAAGAAGAAGATCTCTTCAATTTTTCAAAACAAAAAATAAAAAACACAAAAAAAATTAAAAAG